GTAAACAACGATGTTCAAAAATTTATATGCCATCAACATATTTTGTTCCTATTGATCATAGTGTTGCAATGTACACTGACTCTTCAATTCATTCTCATTTTATTTCACACTCATATCGTCTTACATCAGAGTGGCTTTATCGCCCTACTTTGTGTGAAATGATTAAAAAGACTTTGTGTATAGATTTCTATTCATATATATATATATATATATATATATATATATATATATATATAGATGGTAGTACTCGTTTCGAAAAAAACTTCGGATAGCTCAACTTGTAGTAGAACAAATCAGAACCCCAGGAAAAATTGGAAATAAAAAAAAGAAAGAAAAAAACATTAAAACCAGGCGAAAATTATCGTTAAGTGCTAAGCTCCAAGTCTAAAGAAAAAAAACAAACTCCTAAACTAGTAAAAATACAACGGCGTCTAGTTCTCAGTAGGCTAAGGAGAATGATAAACTATAATAATCCTAAGGAGCAAGGCAAAACTACCTAGGTTTCACCTAAACGCATCTTCAGGGTAAAGATTCGTTTAGTTGAAACCTAGGTAGGTTTACCTGGCTCCTTAGGATTATTATAGTTCGTATATATATATATATATATATATATATATATATATATAATTAATCACATTTTTCCTCTCATTTCATTGTTGGAAGTGTTACCTGATGATCCGAAATCCTTTAAAAAAGGATTTTAGTGAAATAAATTATTTTAATGGTACCTTAAAGTGTCTGTTTTTCATTAAATATTAGCTCTGTTCTTCACACTGAGCTCTCAGGATTTCATCCTCCTTGGATTTACCAATTCGGTTTCAAATTCTTCAAATATAAATATATATATATATATATATATATATATATATATATATATATATATATATATATATATATGTGTGTGTGTGTGTGTGTGTGTGTGTGCGTGCACGTGCTATTTGTGTGTGTAAATTTCTATATCTATCTATCTATCTCTCTGTCTATCTATCGTTTTCTGACTTTATGTCCATATATCTGCTAATATTTCCTGTCCCCTCTCGTAGCCCATAATATAAAAAGAAAGGTCCGATTTTGACTCGATCATGATAGCATCGACGCAATCGCAGTTCAGCCGTAGTCGACATTTTAAAGTCGTTCTTCTTTGTTTGCCTATTATGTGTGCATCACACAGTTTTCAATTCAGATGTTTACTTCTCCGAAACTGGTTGCCAAACACGGCTAAACGACCCATTCTGCCTTTCTATTTAATTCATAACAACGAACGCGTACACCCGGGCAAGGAAGAAAAACTCCCCAAGCTCCCGCAACTGAAGGCTGCGCTGGCCTCGGTGCGTGAACTATCCCTCTCTCTAATGCAATGTGAGGGCGTGACCTCGGGGAGCTGGTCCCCAGGCCGGTACCTCTCAATATAATTTTCCTCGATTGCGACTCTGTCCTTTGACAGAGTCGCCCCTGAGTACACTCTGCTCAAGGACAGAGACGCAACTGATAAATTGAGTGTTACAAACCACTCGAGAGACAGTAATTTACACGTATAGTTCTTTCCAGAAATGCCGCTCTGTATAGGTTGAATAGGTCCGGTGAGAAGGTGCATATTGTCTTACTCCCTTTCTATATAAATGCTGTACTCATTTTTTTTTTAATCTTTTTTAGTTGGCGGTTTGCTGTCAGTAGAGGTTTTTGATTATTCTAATGTCTTTCTCGAATATGTCAAGGTTGCTGAACACATTTCGATATGGTCAAATTTGCACAGATCTAAAAAAGTGATATACATTTTTTTTGCCGGAAAAAAATAACTTTTTTTTGTAGAGAATCTAATACCTTTTCAGTACTCTACAAGTTGGCCTTTAATAGTCTACGATTAAGGACTTTAATTGTTGTTTAATAAGTTGATACCAAGCTGATTAATATTCGAACTGATCTTTGTTTGGTTATACAGCATTTGACCCTCATCTATTCCTTGTAAGTTGTCTTGTTAATTGTTTTGTAACTTATTGGTCTGTGTTTTTTGTATGTATTCGTTAGCACCGGATACTGGTGTCGAATAAATATATTTAGCTCTCCTTCTTCTCTGTGTATCATTCACTCCGACGATACAATAACTTTGTAATTTCAAAACACCAAAAGAAATAAATCTTTTTATCGTTATAAGAGAACCTTTTTTCGCCTTCCCTCAGCGTGATTGTGAACTCCTGCAGAGTGAATCATTGCTCCTTCGCAGCCGAACGCTTTCCGCTATGATGAAATGGAAAGATTATATTGAATTATTGATTATATGAAATTCTCTACCAGTTTTCCTCTCAATTAGAGGAAAACTGGTAGAGAATTTTTCACGCCAAAATGTATCTTCTACACCTTAGAAATCTGCAATTCATCCGCGCATTGAACTATGCATCTAAATTTTCTAAATGATATCCAAATAATCTGCTATGCCACTGTTTCTGAAGTAGCATCCCAATTTCCCGGCCCTGTAACTTAGTTTCCTTAAACAATTTCTGTAAAGATTTTCATGGTATTGTTCTAATGTGCTCTCTTCTTTCGACTTTACGGATTTATGCGCAGTACTAGATTGGCGGAGAGGCCTCATAATTTAAAATTTAAAAGGCTGGATGTAAAGATCATTATTTTAATTCGGAAGATCGTAGTTGACTGTAAAAGGAAAGGCCAAACGGGCACACAACGTGTAAATATGCGCAAAATCATCAAATGCCAACCCAACCCTAACCCTAATCCTAACCCTAAACAGAGGTCGCTTTGAACGGGCTCTCTTTCTGATTTTTTTTTTTCAAAAAACACAGCTGTCCCCGAAGGCTCTATCCTGGGTTCTACGCAGTTTCTGATCTTCATCATTGATCTTCCTGCTGAAATCAGTTCTCAGGTAGGCATTTAAGCGGATGATACTACCATTTACTCCTGTCTCAATAGTAAATCCATCATATGGTTAATGCTAGACTCCAGGAGAAGAAAACAATGCGCCATCGTGGCCTCAATTTTTCCACTGACTTGAAGTAGAGGAAATACATCGAATCAATTGCTACATCTTCTGCAAGTTGAGTAAGTGCCAGAATATTTTTCCTGTTAGAATCCATCTTGAACATTTACAAGTCTACCATTTGTCCGTGCATTGAATACTGCTCCCATATCTGTCCTGGCGACCCTGTTATTTATCTCGAGGTTCTGGACAAAATAAACAACAAAAGGATCTGTAATGTTATAAATCCTGACCAGGAATATCGACTTCAGTCACTTTCATACCGACGTTACATGGCTTCGCTCTGTCCTTTCTACAAATATTTTCATGACAACCGCTTTGATGCGCTTTTTTCCCTGGTGCACCGACTGCATAAATTTAAGCGTGCTATTAGTTTGCCATCTAGGAGCAACCCTTTTACTGTTGAAATTGCCTAATTGCAACCGCCACTTCTACACGAACAGTTTATTTTCTCGCACTTCCGCTTTTGGAACTCCCTCCCGTTTACTTGCTTCCCTGATAACTACACTGCCCTAGGTATGACGATAAACAACACCCACGCCCTGGGTAAGACGATAAACAACGTCCAACAACAAGATCTCTGATCAGAAGGTTTTGAGGAGCATGAAACTGCCTCTTAAATGCTGGTGTTCCCAGGTCCACCCTGACCCAGGGTGGTAGCACCTGTTAGGGTCCCAGCTATGGGCAACTAGTTAACACCCAAACTTGTGTAAAAATGGGTTTTAATACCAGAAATACTTTGTAATAATAATAATTAAAATAAAAATTATTACCAGTAATAATTTTTGAAGGAAAAATTATTATCAGCAATACATTTAAAAAAAATACCAGCAATACAAACAGCTATACACTTGTGAAAAAATATTACCTGCTATAGATTTCCTCAAGGAAAAATATTCTCAGAAATAGATTTTTGAAGAAAAACATATTACAAACAATAAAAGTTTTGTTGGCATTAAATAACCCATTGAGGTTGATATGCCGTAAAACAGAACATACCAAGGCAAACACTGATAACTATAATCATCAAAAATTTATATGCAACGTCAATCGTCATCTTCTGTCTTCTTGAACCGCCTTCATTTTTTTGTTGTCAATCTTCGGTCTTCACTTTCAGTCTCTCTCCTGTAAGCTCCTGCATACTAGAGGCATTGGTGTGAAATGATTTTAAAATGATCCATAAGGAGGTGATATGTCATTAAACAAACACATTAATCAATCTATAGTATTCGAACATATAAAAAAAAAAAAAAAAAAAAACTTGATTTATTTCGGAAGAATATTAGAAAAAATCTAAAACTTATGTGTGTTCAAAACCGGGCAGAAATAAAAAGTCTTTAAACAAAAACAGAAACGGCGTGTGACGAGGATTTTTTTTTTTTTTTTCTCCCGGATTCATTTAAACTTTACACCGAAGCTATCCTCATGGAACTTTAAATACTAAAAGGAATTTTTTTTCCGTAGGCTGAAGCTGAGGTGACTAATAATCGCTCCATGACGAATTCTTTTTAGAAATAAACATTCTCTTGCAGCGGTTCTCAATTTTTTTTTTTTCTGGGCCGCATTTTCGAAAAAATAAAATTTGCCTGCGCTACACAAAATTTTATTTGATAAAAAGTAAATTTAAAAATAAAAACAAAAAAAACAAAACAGAGAAAGATTTAAAGGGAGATAACCGCGGATTCAGAGTCAGAATATTATCACTGATAAACCTCTCCTCCAATTTGCGCACTCTCATGATTATATTCTTAATACTTGATATATTGCAAAAATATCACAATGACAACATCGGTCAGTCGTTATTTATAACTATTTATACTTTGACTCATGCATGCAGTTACAAATAATCCATAATAATCTTACTTATTATAAAACGCAGATTGTGTGTGTGTGTGTGTATGTGTCTGTACGCTTCTATATTAGATCGGATTTCCTACATTTTTCAACCGATTACAACAAAACTTCACAGGACTACGTAAAATTACCTTGCCGTAGTTCTGACAGCGCC